GTGAGGACAGAGACAAAGCCATGTAGTCAGAGTTAACAGGGGAGAGAAAGATCTGAGGTGTTACACAAATGAAGAGAGAGAGAAAGACAGAGATCCAGACACGAAAGTAAAGGGGACAGAAACCCAGAAAGTAGAGACAGTAGAGAAAGGAGGAAAAGCTTAGAAAAATAGATAGAAAATGATGAAATGAGAGGAGTACAAAATACTCCTATATACGTTTTAACTCATCCATGGAATCTAACTAAGTCTATCACCCCTATAATCCTGAAACATTGAATCCTTCTCTTATCCTCACAATGCCCTAATTGCATCCTCAAGACTCCCCTTTAGGCTCATTTTCTTAGCATTAACCTACCCAGAGATTTCCCTGAACTCTCTGAAACCCCAAAAAGAAACTCTTCATAGAGTTTCAAACCCCAGTCTCTTCATAGAAGTTTCTTTATTACTGCCTTCCCATTGACTAAACCTGGATCCCATCAAAAGATATTGACTTCCTTGCAGCTCTCTCTCAAATGAAGACTGTTCTCACCTCTCACATATTCTAAGACCAGAAGGCAATATCGGCAAACTGTTGGCTCTTGACTGTCCTGGCCTCAAACAACATCTGTTCTCCCTCTTTCCCAAACTCCTAAGAGATCTACCACATGGCTACACATCCTATCTACACAATCTTGTGAATACTATCCCTCCATTTAGCTCCCCTACCCCCACCTATGAATGCACACACGCACTTGTTTAATGGGCATCTCTATTTGCATGTCTCAGAGGCATCTCAAACTCTTCCTCCCACAAAACTCTTCTGATATATACACACTAGAAGCCCGGTGAGTGAAAATTCATGCACTGGAGGGGGTGGAACCACAGCCCGGCCTGCCCCCTCTCACAGTTCAGGAGCCCTCGGAGTGGGAGGTGACTCGGCATTCAGGAGAAGGTGACGCCCCCATCACACCTTTGCTGCTGCCACTGCCAGCAGTGCAAGCCTCGGCTGGGCTTGGTTACCTGAGACTTAGGCGGTTCTGGGCAGCTGGGCAGCTGAGCGAACTGGGTGACTCTGGAGGCAGGTGCAAGCCCCAGTGGAGCCAAAGGAACTGGGCACTGTCATCTTGTGGCTGTGGGCACCACCAGCTTTGAGGGCTTGACAGTCAGTTAGCATACTCCCTCCTTATTGGTCATGGGCACTGTCATCTTTGAGGGTGGGGGGTCAATCAGCATATCCCCTCCTTATTGGCAGTGGGTGCCACCATATTTGCAATGGTATGAGGGTCAATTTGCATATTACCTTTTTATTAGATAGGATAAGCAATGCATAATGCTTCTGTTAGTAAAATAACTACCTAATATAGGTCTGCCACATTCATAAGACATTAGGTACCATTCTAAACAGCAATTCTGAGTTCACTCTCAGTAGCCTACTCTTGGAAAGTTAGAACTAATAAATATTAGCTCTCAACCCTAGAGCAGATCCCATCTCATATTACTAGTTTACTAGCTAGTCTCTGGAGTGATATGTTGGTCCTACCATAACAATTCAGAATAAAGGAAGTAGAGATCATGAATAAGCCAAGAAGACATTATCCTTTTGGTGGCTGTAATATTATGGGAGGTGCTAAACCTGTGTATTTCTGCACATCTTCAGAAAATCCTCCTTTCTTTGACAAGAAAGGTTCATCATTTTCAGCAATAATCACTTTTCTTTCTTTCCATTTTTTAAATGGCGCTATCCCAAAACTAAGAGAAGTCTTTCACTTTGGAAAGTTTACAATGCTCAGGAGAAAGTACTCAGATAAATAAAATACTAGAAAGTATATTTTATTTTCAAATTTTATTAGAGGTTCTTTGTCCTCTGACTAATCTCCCTTAATGACTTCTCAATTGTTCTTTATCTGTAAGATTATAAGATAAATAACCAGCTCTGCACAGCAACAGGGAGGAAAATCATCCTCTGGGATAGAGAGATAATGGTCAGTCCATTGTAAATTCCCAGACAGGATTAAGTGACAGCAAGGGCAGACTGTGATGGGACTTCCACCAAACCAAAACCAGACAGTTAAGTCTTTAGGTGCCATCACAGAAAAAGCCTTACATTCGAAAGTTTTTATATTTTTCCCTTGCTCTTTATCTTAATAAGAGTTAAATGAGTTAATATTTATAAAGCACTGAAACAGGACATGTCACATAGGGAAAACAATATAAATTAAGCAGTCAAGAGAAAATGTTTAGAGGCCTTATAAGGAGACCTTTACAAATGACTCTGCATGCAATCCAGAGGTTCATGGAACAAATAATCCTGACATTTACTTTCCTCCCTGGGGTATTATAATGTCTAGCATCTAATAACAAAAAGCCATGAGGATGCAAAATTCCATTATAAGAGTGCTGCAAACATAACAGATGCTCCATAATTTTATTTGGGAAGGGACAGGAAAAAGTAAAGACATGCCAAAACAGATAAAATTAAAGACATAACAGGCAGTTTGCTAAATTGGAAAAAAAAAAAAAAAAAAAGGCATGAATCAAGTAATTGGCTTTAGAAACAAAAGAGCTCAAATACTTATATAAGGACTTATAGTCCCTAATACAAGCAGAGGCAATCATTTAGACTTAAAGGCAGGGGTGCATGTGAAAAATAAGAGTCACTAAAGAACTAATTTGGCCCTAGCCGGTTGGGTCAATGAATAGAACATCAGCTTGTAGACCAGAGGGTCCCAGCTTCCATTCCAGACAAGGGCACATGCCCAGGTTTCGGACTTGATCCCCAGTAGGGGCATGCAGGAGGCAGCCGATTAAAGATTCTCTCTCATAATCATTGATGTTTCTATTTCTCTCTCCCTTCCTCTTTGGAATCAAAAAAAGAAGAAAAAAAAAAAAAAAGAAAAAGAAAGAAAGAAAAAAGATATTTCTTTAAAAGAAAAACACATTTGGTTGATTTGGTTGTTAAAATATTATCTCCCCCACTTGTGCCCCTCACCCCACATACAAACACCAATTATATATCACAATCCTGACTAAAGATACAGGTATCATACCATATTATAGGCTCTATCGTAAGAAAAGGAATTTCTAAGGAAATAATCGAAATAAAATTTAATGGAAAATCATTAAACATGGGTACATTGGGAAATAGGTATATGATGTAAAAAGTATATTAGGCTAGAAATTAAGAGGGTTTATGGATTTAAGGACTTTAAAAAGTATATGATATCTAAGATCCAAAATATCAAATGAATTTATCCAAAATCATATTTATTTAGCCAAAAAAAATCAAGTGGTTTGTTATTTGTCCTACACACACACACACACACACACACACACACACACAAGTGGGGGAAAATTGTAAGCAAACAACTTATTTGGGAAGAAGGGACAGTGAACAGATAGAAAAAGACCACAATAAAATAGAAGAAACTGATTTTCTATGCTGCCAACTCCAGCGTATACAATGACATTAGTTAATACATCTTCTGAAGAGCAAGACCAAGGGAAGGGGGAGGAGGGAGGGATTCACAGCATAAAATCTTCCTTAATTATCCTTTGCTTTTACAGAATTAAATGTGACCATAAATACTGATCACTTAATAGGGGTGGGGAGTTTTTTTTTCTGCCAAGGGCTATTTGGATATTTATAATGCCATTCCAAGGTTTATACAACATGATCAACTTAAAAATTAACTTGGTATATTGGTCAAACATTTAATTAACTCACCCTTCATGCCTTGGCAAATGATAGTGTGGGCCTTATATGGCCCTTGGGCCGGACGTTCCCTATCCCTGACTTACAACAAGCTCTGAAATATTATACATTCTCCAACTATTCTCTAGCCAAGGAATACATTGCCTCCTAATGTTTAAGTGTCATTCTGGTCCTACTAAAGTCCACCTCCTTCCCCTTCCCCTCCAATATTTCAACTTCTCAAAATGACATCGTTTTCTTCCCTCCAATAAAGAGATGAACTAACATGGAACTCCAGAAGCACATCCTATCATATATAGTAATCAAGAGGTAACATGCAAATTGACCATCACATCCTCAGACAAGATGGCCACCCCCATGTGGTCACAATATGGCTGCCAAAAGATGGCTGGCAGGGGAGGGCAGTTGGGGGCGATTGGGCCTGCAGAGGAGGACAGTTAGGGTGATCGGAGCATCAGGGGAGAGAAGTTGGGGGCTACCAGGCTGGCAGGGGAGAGCAGTTAGGGAAGAACAGGCTGGCAGGGGAGGGCAGTTATGGGTGACCAAACCATCAGGGGAGAGCAGTTGGGGGTGAACAGGCTGGCAGGGGAGGGCAGTTAGGGAAGAACAGGCTGGCAGGGGAGGGCAGTTATAGGCAACCAGACCATGAGGGGAAGGCAGTTGTGGGTAACCAGGCCAGCATAAGAGGGCAGTTAGAGGCTATTAGGCCAGCAGGGAGGGCAGTTGGGGGCAATCGGGCTGGCAGGGGAGCAGTTAGGTGTCAATCAAGCTGGCAGGGGAGTGGTTAAGGGGTGGTCAGGCTGGCAGGCAAAAGCAGTTGGGACCAATCAGGCAGGTGAGCAGTTGGGAGCCAATAGTCCTGGAATGTGAGATCCGGCCTAACCCAGCAGGTCCCAGATTGGAGAGGGTGCAGGCTGGGCTGAGGAACACACACCACCACCACCACCACCACCACCACCAGCACCACCACCACCACCACCACCACCACCACCACCACCACCCCCATGCATGAATTTTGTGTACCGAGACTCTAATAAATAACATAAAAGGCTTTAAAGAAAATTCACTTTAGAACTGAAGGCAGAAATTTAAAATGGAAGAAAATTTTAAAAAATTCATTTCTTTCATTAACATTTTCCTGATATAAATGTAATCAATGAACATATCTTGAGCTCAGAATCACTAGGGCCTGCATTTTGTAATTCTTCCACTCAATTAGCAAAACTGTTTTACTTGGGTAAGGGGGATTATTTCTAAAAGAATAACAAGTCTATCACAATATTCAGTACACACTTTTTGCAACACCTACCTTCTCACCACTTGAGTAGAAGAAATAACGCAATCGGACTATGTTACAGTGATCTAGCTTTCTCATGATTTGGAGCTCTCGGTTCTATAAAGGAAACACAAAAAATATTTTTTAAAAGATAACCACTATTCATCATATTGACTAATATTTCTGAAATAACAAACATTACAAGCAATAGGCTATAGATATTTTATCAAAAAGTATGGTCTATAGATCAGTGCTGACCTGTAAAGTATTTGTTACCAGTCCATGAACTATTTACTACTGCTCTGCAAATGAAATTAAAAGTGTTTAAAATCTTTTATAGCTATTTGACAGAATAATTTGTATTATTAACCTTATAATAAAAAGTGGAGTTTATATTCTTTATTTCTTAAAATTTCACTTTTGTAGTAATTCATTTGTATTGTATTTTACAAAAATATCAGTCCTCAATGAATTGAAAATTTAAAAAAAAAACTGGCACTTTATCACAATAAGCTTGAAAAGCACTAGTTTTTAATATATAAGAGATATCTGAAATGAGTTATACTGCTGTAATTTTTATAACGATAATAAAAATCAAACTTCACACCAAACAAATTTGGGTGTAAAGAAAACTCTTACAATCTTTATTATTTTCTAAGATACAGTGAAAAATCTGAGAATTAACCCCATTAGAAAAATTTATTTGCTAAGTTTTAGAGAGTTAAAATATGATAGACTACAAATTGTACCATACTGATAAATTTATAGACCACACAAGTAAATTTCCCTTTGGGGAGTTTCAAAGTTATGCTCATTCTTCATGGAAAGAAAACATGAAATAATATGACGACCTCCTAACACCATAAATTTTGCAGTATTAATCTGAAGAGTATGTATTAACAATATATTTGGGCTGTCAGAAATCAGTTAATAAAGACTAAATTACATAACAGAGAAAAAAAACACCAAAGCACCAGTTATGTAGACAGAACATATAAAATTTACAGTTAAAATAATGATTTAGAACAGAACATAAACATAAAATATATGCCTGGAAATCTAGAAGGGAAATGCTATTATGGTTAGAAAAAAAAGTTAAAAAAAAAAAAAAAAAGGAGTGGGAGATGACGAGCTGAATAATCAGAACTGTCCTAGAGCAGAGTGGGCTCCAGTTCTTAGAAGGAGACAGCAGAAAGAGAATGTTCCTCCCCTCTAGAGACTTCCAAACTACTTTGATTGTTCTCTCAAGGAAACAGGAAACTCAAGAGGACTCTTCTGTCCCTTTAAACTGACTGTGAGAGCTGGGTTTATGTGTACAGTGAGTGATATTTAAAGTTTTCATTCCTATCATTACCTCTTCTAAAACATTTATAGCTGAAGCAATAATCAAACTTAGTACAGTATAACCGCTTTAACAAATATAATGACTAAAGTCAGACTCTTTTGCCTGTTTCAGAGGATACAGGAAACATTACCAATTTCAAAACTGTGTCCATTTCCATTCCAAATGCAAGCTATTTCTGAAACTATATCTATACTTTGCCAATTCGCATCTAGGTACATAGTTTTGTGGGAGAACTGCCAGTAGGCTGAGGTTCACTCCTCTAATGATATATTGATACTAACATTGACTTTTTTTTTTTTAATATAGCCAACCAACTATGTTAAAATAAGCTATCTATTTTTCCACACTCATTAGCCAATGTCACAGAGAACTATTAAGTGTCCAGATAACGTAAGTTTTATAAAAATATATATAAGTGAAGCAACTACACGGACCTAAATATCCACCTCCCTTATTCTTCTTTCATATTCTACTAGGAGCCCAGTGTGTGAAATCGTGCAGCCCTGCCCATCCGTGCACCCCTCACCTTGCTCGCAGCCCTGCCCACTGGCCCCAGTCTTTGGTCGTTACGGGGTTAGGGCCACTGGGTTTTTATAATATAGATTCATTTAAAAAGGAGGCTTACATTTTCTCATTTTAAAATTCCCTAAAAGATCTAAAACATACAATTCATAGAGCAATATTTATAGGTATACTAATCAAGCCAATATTAGGCAAACAAGTACATGCCTGAAATGTATTTAAATATATAACTGCCAAGCCTAGCCACTTTTATAGAATTATTCTTTATTAGTTCATTAAGGACATACCAATTCTATAGAAAACACTTTATTCTACAAATACAGTGCACCTATTCTGTGCCAGGCATCATTATTCACAATATAAAGGATAATGAAGTGAACAAGACTAACAAAGTTCCTGCCCCCATCAAACTTACTACAGTATATGGAGGACAGAAAGAAATAAACAGTATATTTTCACTTAAAGAGGACAGAGAATGATAGAATAAAGGAAATCAGAGCAGACCTCAAAAATGAAGTAAAATCTGAACACAAATGTGAATGATATGAAAATGAGAACCATGTGAAGATAGAAGAGCATTGCACTACAGAAATAGGAAACTCCAAATGTAAATACCTAAAGGTGGGCTTGGCATATTTAAGAAAATAGCCTGAAGGGTAATATAGTATGCTAAGTAAAGGGAAAAGGGTAGGAGATAAGTTCAGAGAAGTAGGCAGGTGGGTGGGATATGTCCTATAAACTCATAAATCATGATAAGAAATTAAATTTAAATTTCACACTAAATGTAAAGATCAAGCCAATATTAGGCAAACAAGTACATGCCTGAAATGTATTTAAATATACAACTTTATTTTGACCAGGAAAATGTTATAATCTGATATATCTGTAATACTGAGACTGCATGAAGAAGCTGGGGCTAAAAATAGGCTGGGGGCCAACTGTTCTTTGGGGACATAAAGCAAGGGGACCCAATGATATAACTATTACCTAGGAAAGAAGTTAGAAAAAAAAAAAAAAAGTCATAGATATAAGGAGTAGTGTATCAATGAGTAAGTAGTCAATGAAGTAGAATGAAAAACAGAAGAACATGTTATCTTAGAAGCCAAGTTAAAAAAAAAAAAGAGTTTTCAGAAGAGGGTAGTAACCATTTACCATCTCAAAAGCTACTGAAAGATTAAGGTGAAGACAGAAAACAGATTTGGATATGGCAAATGCAAGATGCTGGTGATTTTTATAAGAGTGATTTTGGTAAAATGGTTGTGACAAAAGCCTGACTACAGTGATTTAAAGTGGACTGGAAGACAGGAGGAAAGGACTAACAAGTTAGAAAGTTCAAAAATAGGTGAGATTTCCAGCTATGGCTAAATGAAGATATTTCCGCCTAAATGCCTATAAAAAGGACAACATTATAAAAACAATTTCAGAGCTCTGGAAATCATCCAAATGCAACAATAAGTTGAAAAGCATTTATTCATGAAAAGCTGCTAGATATTGGAATTAGGACAGTGCGGGCCAGTAGCCTTCTTGCCAGGGAGTTTTACCACCCAACTCAAGACAGTTTGAGTAGCTGGTTTTTACCAGGGCAGGGTTAGCCATGAAAACCAGGAATTCTGCTCCTAGACAGGGCTATCATCACTTAAAACAAGAGAGCAAAAGCCTATTTCGAGTGGCAATGGCAGTAAAAATAGCAAATCTGTCAGGAAACGAAGTAAAAAAGTCCACAGCTCTGCTACCCTTGGGGATGCAGGCTCAGCTGGGTAAAATGAGAGACTGGCAGAACACTGAGAAATTTAACAGGGAGACCCTGGAAGTAAGAGAGACATAAAGGAGCTAAATAAGATCTCCACATATCCCAGACTCAGAAGCTGTACACACAAAGGCAGGGGAGACCTACGAGGGCCTTGTGGAAAGCTGAGGCCGAACTACTGGAATTTTGAATGTACTTTGCAATGCATGTATTGTACAAGATCATCAAAATATGGTGGAAACTTTCTGAACTCAAGATGTTTGAACACAATCTCTAACCAATACCCAGCTGACCACTAAGCTATGCAGACAAAGAGTCAACCCCTAAGAAGGCTAAAAAGTAAAAATTATAATAAAAAATTTAACACAGAATTCAGGGCCTTTGATCTACTATAGATTATATACAGGTTAAGTCACAAAAATAAAGAAAAATCCCCGAACAGCAATGTTCAGGATGATTTTTAAAAATCAGAACCCAGAATTGCTACAATATATTATTTAAAATGTCCAATTGTCCAAAAAAAAAAAAATTTTTTTTTAAATGGTGGAACGTGCAAACAATAGGAAAAGACCTATAATCAGGTTGTTTTGTTTCTTTAAAGTAGTCAGTAGAAACTGACTCTGGGTAGACACAACTGTTGGACTTGGCAGACAGGAGTCCAAAGCAGACATTAAGTTCAAAGAACACAAAAATTGTAACGCTTCTGAAGAAAAAATAGGAGGTAAGCTTCTTGACAATGATTTTGGCAATGATTCTTAGATTTGATATCAAAAGCAAAGGTGCCAAAAGCAAAAAGTAAAGCGAGATTCCATCAAATAAAAAAGCTTTTGCATATCAAAGAAAGTATCAACAAAATGAAAAGGCAACCTATTAAATGGGAGAAAATATTTGCAAATAATATCTGATAATGGGTTAATATGCAAAAATATATAAAGAATTTGTATAACTTAAATAACAAAAAACCCAAGCCCAAACCCACAAACAAGCCATTAAAAATGGGCAAAGGACCCGAATAGACACTTTTCCAAAGAACACTGAACCTAAAATGGTACACTAAAAAAGATTTGTTAAACTAAAAAGAAGGCAATAAATGAGAACAGGGGAACAAAAACAAGGGGGGGGGGGGGGAAGAGGAAGAGGAGGAGGAGGAGGAGGAAGAGGAAGAGGGAGAGGGAGAGTGAGAGTGAGAGTGAGAGAGAGGGGGAGGGGGAGTGTGAAGGGGAGAGGGAGAGAGAATATGAATGAAAACAAGGAGGAATATGGCACAGGTAATACCAACCATTTAAAAAACTAAACAAAATGTGATTAACTAAGCATACAAAGACAGAAATTGTTAGGCTGGATAAGAAAGCAAGCTCCAACTATATTCTCTCTAGAGTAGACATAATTTAGGTTCAAAGACACAATTGCTTAGAAGTATAAAGGTGAGAAAAGATGACACACAAAGAGTAACCAAGAGATGTGGAAGAGCAATGTTATTAGCAGACAAAGTAATTTAAAGAG